TAAGTACATTGCCATAACATCTTCATGCTTTGACAGTACAACATAAACAAATAACAAACAACATTACCAAAAGGGGACCATAACAGATAAATGTCAAAACACAATCATTACCAACAAAGGGCATTAAAGTACATTATCAAAAGGGCATCAAAGTACATTATCAAAATGGAACAAAAAAAAGGCAACAAAGTACCAACTAAAGTGCATTAACAAGTCTTGACAAACATAAAAAGTACTTAAACATCAATTCCCATCTTTGGCCTTGCAGGTCCTGGCATTGTGACCCTTTTGCTTACACTTACTACATGTCACAGTCAAAAACTTCCTGCTCAGTGATTGAGTTTCATTATCATTTTGACTTTGACTGTTTGCTTGCCTCTTACGTTGCTGGATTTCAATCCTTTCCTCTGCTGTAATCCTTCTTTTCTTTTTTGGCCTGCCTATAGCTTTGTTGTGTGGTGGAGGCACAAGAGTTGTTGGGCAGTCACTCTTAGGCCACATGGCTCTACCTTTGATAGGCTCCACCTTGAAGGAGTACATCTCTTTCCATGTATCAAGCCAATACACCTTATGCACATAGGTGTATAGTTCTCCTACCTTTTCATTGTTGTCTGCCATTTCATTTAGGCTTGCAATAGCATGTTTGCAAGGAATTCCAGTAAGCTCCCACTTTCTACAACTACACTCCCTTTTCTCCATGTCCACCACATGTTGATCATTCCATGGACCTTTAACCTGATACTTTTGTCCCCCATTCCATCGTGCATGATACTTACTAGCTAGTGTTGTGTTTGCTTCCAAAATCCTAGTACCAGTTGGAGTTAATGGACCTTGACACTTGTTTAACACCTTCATCACATTGCATACTCTCTTCATAAGGTACTCTCTGATGAACTCCAAACAACTGATAATGGGTTTGTCTCTCCCTTTTACAAGTTTGCTATTGAACACTTCACAAAGGTTATTCAATAACATGTCTGAAATTGCCCTTCCTAATAGTTCATTAACAAAACAACAGTTAGTGTATATCTATACTACAATAAAAAATAAGACAACAAATTGAGAAAATACCTGAAAAATGACTTCTAGCCCAATGATGTGGAGGGATTTTCAAGAGCCATTGATATGCTTCTATGTCATAATTCCTTAGCTCTACCATTACAGCTTCAAACTCTGGTATGGTGGTGGCTGTAGCACACCTCCAAAAATACTCCTTGTACTCTGTAGTCTTAAATAACTTCCTCATGTTCTGGTATATGTGTCTAATACAGAACCTGTGTTCTGCATTAGGGAACAATTGTTCTATGGCTGGTAGAAGACCCTGTTGTCACCAAAACAAAATAAGAAATTAGCATTAGTTTGTAATGAAACTAGTATGCAATATTAAATGTAACTATAGTACCTTCTGTCTATCACTGATAAAGGTGAAGTTGGAATTTGAATACAAGTCAAGATCTTCTGCAAGACACTGAAGAAACCATTTCCAACTTGAAGTGTTTTCACTTTCAGCAACAGCATATGCCAATGGGTAGGTTCCATTGTTGGAATCAACACCAACTGCACTTAGTATTTGACCTGGGAAAGGTCCCTTCATGAAGGCTCCATCTAAGCCTAAAAATTCTCTCAAACCTGCCTTAAAACCTTTCTTCAAAGGACCTAAACACACGTATATCCTTCTGAATTGCCTGGTTGGGGATGAAACCACAGGTTCTGAAACCACATCAATCTTTACAGTTGTACCTTCATTTGTCTTTTGTAGCTCTAGTACATAGTCTCTCAAAGCTGCATATTGCTTTACGTAATCCCCTGCAACATTTTTGGTGGCTAATGCTTTTGCCCTAAATGCTTTCTCTTCTGAAATACTAACTCCATAAGTTGATTGGAGTTGCTCTTGTAGGGCACGAACAGGCAGTCCAGGATTAGCTTCAATCTGATCCATAATACGTTTGGAAAGAAATGTTGCTGTGCAAGATCTGATTTTTCGTGTTTGGAGGCAGATGTGTTTCTGATTATAGGTCTTAATAAACCAATAGTCCTGTTCACTTGACCTAGATGCATGAAGTTTCCATGTGCATTTAACTTTATCTGAGTTTACATCTTTACCCTTTACCTTTTTCCCAGAGGTAGGTCCACCTACCCCACTTGCATTTAAAACTACAGTTCCATCACAAACAGCTGTTAATCTACTCTTGTCGTTTTTTGTGAATGAGATATTCCTCCTTGTCTCTAAAGCATGCAGGTCAATTTTATCTTTCAATTCTTTCTTGGCTTTATATTTCTGCCCAATATGAAAAGCTACCTTGTGCACCTCACCAGCAGAACATAAGGTTTGTTTCCCCAGCTCTTTGATCATTTCTCTTCTTTTCCTGTTGTCCCCTGAGTCATCACTTAGTGAATCCCACTCGTCATTGTCAATTACCTCCAAATCATCTTCTTCATCACTATCTTCATTTCTTTGACCACCCATTCTTTGACATCCATTGAACTCTGCTTCTGTATCAATATTTAGATTGAAATCCTCCATGTCAACGTCAACATCTTCAATTATGTTGTCCTCATCAATCATAAAGTCACTATCTTCATCTTCACTGTTTTGATTCTCAAACTCAATGTCATCAGGCTCCTCTTGTCTCCACTCATCATTGAAAGGAATATTATCTTGGCCTTCAAACCCATTAAATGGGATGCTATCTTGGTCTTCAAACCCTTCAAAAGGTTGAAAGTTTGTCATTAACTCATCATCTATGTTGATGTTAGTTGAAAATTCATTGACTCCTTGAGGATCATTATCCATGACAACTCTATACCCCTCATCTGCAAATCCTTCTACACCCTCACCATTGGATTTGTTCACATCAAGTTCTTCATTCACATCAATCTCTTTGTTTAACTCTTTTTCTGCATCAACTACAACAAATTCATCTACAAATCCTTCTACACCCTTACCCTTATCAACTTCACCACTTGCCATTGTTTTTTCAGCACCTTCCCAATCCAATTTAAGCATTCTACTACAAGACGATGCCCCTTTACTATGTTTCCAACCTTTAGACCTACTAAATTCAGGTGTTGCTGATTTGTATAAGGTTAATGCTAACCCTAAATCACCCTCACCAACATCAATTTGGATTGGAGTTACCACTTCATGAGCAACTACAGGTGATGAGGGTCTAATGGAATCCTGCTTCTCCATGTCTTCTATTATAACCCTTCTTGGACCAGTTGGGGACATAAAATATGTAAGCAAGTTCGTTTGACCATGCTCTGTGTACACTTTAATCATTTTGTTATTATGGGTAACATATCGTGAGAGATTACGCACATCATCATCGTTACCTAATGCTCGGAGTCCAAAGTCAAATCCTTCATTAGGCAAACGGAAATGGTAATACATGATTTCAGTACCATCATACCCTAATTCTCTCATCATCGAGTCTAGTTCATGAACAGAAAATTCATCAATGTCGACAACATCAAAGTACCTTACTTGGCCATTAATATACCTGATATTTGGAAACTTTGTGAAACTCCCTCCGTGATGAAGTTCAATAGAGAATATGTTGGGGTAACCATCTTCAAAACAGAAAGAGACGATTATTAGTTAGAGTTTTTCAAAGTTTGAAGCTTGATCATAAAATACAGAGTTTTTCTAAGTTTGAATCTTACCATAAACTTCTTGAACGTTGACAATCTCTCCAACATTTCTAAGTCCCCACATTTTCAAAAGCATGAACACAATCCAATTTTCAGATGATCGTTAGGGTTTTTGCGTTTGAATCAAGAGGTATGAGTAGAAGACGAAGGAGTGAGTACAGTCTGCAATCTTATTAATTGAAGTGGCGGCAACGGAGGCTAGGACCTAAAATGACCAAAATGCCCTCACATGGAGGGCACGTGAAGGCACTAACGGCTCCAAACAAACGGTCAATGACGGAATGGACTAAAAACCCATGAAAACCTTGATTTTGGACCTTTGGTGCAAGCTGGAAACTATTTGTACCCCATCCAAAGGTTTTGGCAAACCACAATGACCAAATTTGCAGTTTTGTCATATATATATATATATATATATATATATATATATATATATATATATATATATATATATATATATATATATATATATATAGGGGCGGAGAAGGTTAGTGGGTGTTGTGCCCCTTAACTATATTGATATTAGTTTATTACTAGTGAAGTAACATTGCATCTTATTATAATCTTTTTATATAAGAATATAAACTCAGGTACATGATATATATATATATATATATATATATATATATATATATTATATATATATATATATATATATATATATATATATATATATATATATATATATTAGGAGGGTTAATAGGTTTTGTGCCCCTAACTATATTGATATTAGTGTATTACTAGTCAAGTAACATTGCAGCTTATTACATTCTTTATATATATATATATATATATATATATATATATATATATATATATATATATATATATATATATATATATATATATATATGAGCAAAGAGGGTTAGTGGGTGTTGTGCCCCTAACTATATTGATATTAGTTTATTACTGGTGAAGTAACATTGCACCTTATTATAATCTTTTTTTTTTTTATATAAGGTACATGATATATATATATATATATATATATATATATATATATATATATATATATATATATATATATATATATATATATATATATCATGTACCTTATATATAAAAAGCTCTCTATCATCCACATCCAAATCTTTTTCTGGGCCCTGATGTTTCAGGGAATGGCGGAATCCGTCTCTAGCAAGTACGCAACTGGCCTTAAATTGTATCGAGAGGCCCTTCTCTTATAGTCACGAGATCATTGATACACGATAATATTTTCAAATTAACATTTTCTCTCAATATATAAGACATTGCATTTACAATCAAAGACTAGCAATTAAGTAGCAACCTTTTGCCTTGCTAGCTATGTGATTCTTGAAATGTATCTCCGTGCTATTTTCCTTAAATTATCCGCGTAGAGAAGCATAGCTATTAAATAAAGCCAAAGCATTGCTGGTTAAATGGGCAACATTCACAATCTTTCCTCTCACCACATTTTTCATTTTCGTGTCATTCACAAACCCCTCCACGCAAGTGTCTTCATCCGTCATTGCAGAACTCACCCATGTTTGTATGTCACTTATCACTTGCCGGGTATTTTTGGAACCCGGCCGACGCATCTCCTCAATTGATTTTTTCAATTCGTATACCGCGTCACTCAGCAACTCAATGCAGTCTTTCATGGCTGCAACCTCAAGGGGAGCCATGACATGCACTTGTGACAATTTTACCATTGCTGTGGATGTGGTGCGGGTCTTGTCGAGGGTGACTGATAGAGCTGCTTGGGCTAGTAGCTTTGGGCTTGTTTGGATTGCACCTGATCGACTTGACAATGAGTTGAAGCAGAGTGTAGGGTAAGTTGTCAAACCGCATGATGTTCTGATGAACTCGACATTTGTTTTCTCAAGGGCGGAGATGAAACTAATGGAGGAAGTGAAGAAAACTGCTATTAGGAGAATGTTACGGGCTAGAGAATATGTAAAATATGAACCTTCCATAATTAGAAGTTCTTTAGGAAGGTTTGAACTTTAAAGAGATCGATGCTATGCTTAATGATTGAAGCTAAGAATTGAAGGTAGGTTATGAAAGTTGAGCAAATGCATTCGGAATTTATAGGAAAACCCAATGGTGCTTATCTTCTCAAGTTCTAGTCTTTATCTAAGATAATGTGTACCCAGTACACATGTGTCAAAATATCTATCGACTATCGAGTTCCCTTTAACAACTTGCAATTATGCAAATCTCTACCCATTCTTTTATTGGTTAAATGAAGGGGAATTACGTGGAAATAATTTGTAAGCTTGTTGGTTACATTAAATTAAGTTCAATTCTCTGTAGTATTCTTGGATTCATATGTGTTAATAGTGGTCGACATAATGAGAAATGATAAGTTTGGACTGTTGGAGGGGGGCTTCACCGGGGTCTAGAAATGGGACAATACAGTATGTTGAGGTTGGACCGCTGGGGGCTACACAATTACAATCAACTTTTCCGGACCACTTGATAGTACATGTATTGCTTCTGATTGGTTGGAAAGATAACGTACTCCAGTAGTCTATAGATATTGCTAAATTAAGCACGCCGACTATTTTTAATATCTTGTAGATATTTTTAAAGCGTAATCCAGGAATATTAATAAACAGTAAACGAAAACGCTAGAAGATGTTGTTTTTGTCTTATGCATGTGTCGACATCAAATTAATGACACTAAATAAGAGGGATTATGTTAGATGTTTAACTTTTGGATCAGACATAATGGAGCTAAACAATCTATATGAAGGAATGAAAGTTACTACTTTTTGTAAAGAAAATACTTATTTTAATCATAATTTTATATTCGAAATTTTAAACAACGTTTTACAACCAAAAGGCATGTGGTCTGACTACATCTTCTCAGCTACTCGTCATTTTAAATTAGCAATGGCACTTAAAAACGTTGTATTGTTAAGAAAATCTTTTGGAAGATTTCATGGCTAATTCGTCCTAAAAGTTAAATTTTCCACCAATCATGAAACCAAAGTACAAACAATCATATTGTGACAGACTTGACACATATTGGCGACTAGTTATAACGTAACGACAAAATGCGATGGATCAAGGTAGCGAAAAATTTGCGGCAAATTGAATAGCGACGGATTGCTATAGCACTAGGGTTTTGGGTCAAGCAACAAACTATTTTTCAACGGATATAACTAATTTTACAGTTTTTAAAAAAATATATAAAAGTATAGAAAATACAAAACATAACCAAATCCAAAATTTTCAATATCACACAAAACAAACAAAAACAAATCCTATTTCAGTATCAAATACAAATATCTAGAAACCCAAAACTACTTAAATGAGTTGGCATCGGATGAGGGACAAACGGGTTGCTTCGACCCCTTCCCCCCTCATATGAATTTCTATCAAAAATCTTACACTCTTGGTTGGATAAGGCATTGAACTCTTCATATTCTTTTCGATTCTCTTCCATTTTTCGTTGAAGACAAGCTTTTGGATTCTTTAATTATTTGTTGAAATTTACACATAAAGGTCAAAACTTTTTGTCCCAAATTACGAATGTTACACAATCATAACACCTCTTGAGGCCGGTAAGCTAATCATATTTATTAATATTAGTATTTTGATTTTATACTATTACATAAATTACATAAGTTATTTATATTTTTGTAAACGAAGGAGATTAGGCATGAGCCTTTATGACCCAATGTTTTTGAAACACCTTTCGTATGGGTTAAATGTTTTAACCATGCAATTTAATATGATCTTTTAATAATAAAAGCCATCATTTGCGGCAAATAGGTCACAGCGTCATCAAAACTAATATTTAAGGTAAACTTTTTAAAAGTATGAGGATGCGACAATCTAACCGTAGAAACATAAATTTAAGACAAAACTTCAAAAATATCCCTGTGGTTTCCAAAAATATCAAGTTTAGTTCCTAAGTTCAAAAAACCTTATGGATCGTCTATGTGGTTTCAAAACTTTTAACAAATGGTTCTTTTCGTTAACTCCGTTAGTTTTTGGCCGATAAGTGAAGGGTACTTCTGTCTTTTCACTATCACATGTACCATTTATGAAGTTTTGCTTTATTTAAAAAAAATTACTATTTAATATTAAAGGTCTCTCTCTCTCTCTCTCTCTCTCTCTCTCTCTCTCTCTCTCTCTCTCTCTCTCTCTCTCTCTCTCTCTCTCTTAAGTTGAAAAACTTTCATTTATATATATATATATATATATATATATATATATATATATATATATTCTGGATTTATGATTTCAGGTTGCTTGATATTTATCTAAACCCAAAAGATGGCAAGAAACACATGTTCAAAGCTACTGTTCGGCTTCTCCATAACCACGGAGAATATCTTGATTCTCTGCAAGTTCTTGAGGTATTAAAAAGTAATTATAAATCTCTCAATTTTGATAAAAGGTTGTAGGTTTTGATTTGCAGAGACTATCCCCAAAAAGTGCACTTACAGATTGCTTCATATACAATATTAAGAATGCTAAGAGCTCGTCTTCATCATCATTATCAAGGACAAGTAGGTTCTTTGCAAAATACACATCTTGTTCTTAGTCTCAGTTTTAAAAAGAAACCAAAATCCAGAAGTCAAAGGGTATATCTGAAACGAAAACCTGGTCAAAAAATCATAATCTAAAGAACACCGCCTGAAACGACGATGAACACCAGTGGGTATCTCGATTTAAAGAGGGTACCCTGAATCGTTGCCTTCCTTGAAATATGAGTTTGTGCTTATTATATGTAATCAAATTTATCAGACATAAAATAAAACAAAATTTTTGATATAATCAATCGTAAAAACCAAGTTGTCCACTCCAAACCAATTCCAACAAAAAAAAGTTACACTAAGATAGGTAGTGTAGCACCTGGTTCTTGGTATGTATTCTTTTATTAATATTTTTGCATTATGGTCTTGGACTTGGCGAGTTGAAGGACCAACTCGCCGAGTAGAAGCGGGATGAGACGTGGGGTTTAAGCAGTGGACTCGATGAGTAGGCCCTGTCTGGACAAAAACCCTAACCCGAGGGTTTGCACCATACTTAAACACCTTAACTCAGCCTCCTTCGTCCCATTTACTCCCAGAAGACCCCCATAGCAAACCCTAGCCGTTATTGAAGCAATCTAAGGCATTTAGAGTGATTTTGGTGCTTTTGTGACCCAAGGAAGGAAGGAAAAGCTTGAAGGATCAAGAGGAGGCTAGAAGGATCCGATTTTGAGCATCATTTGCAGTCTACAGAAGGTATAAAGTATATACCTTGTTTGTTATTTTGATAGATCCCATTTTGTGGAGTTTTAGGGCTTTTCTAAGCCATTTTGGTCACCAACCATGATTGCAAGCATGGTTAGGGGTTGATGTTTCAGATCTAGGCCCTTAGAGGGGTTACAAGGCAGAAAGGAGTGACTCTTGCGCTCAAAGAAGGCCCCATGCATTGTAAGAGATTGTTTTAGGACCTTTTGAGCTCAAAGTCCCATGCAAGCACGTAAAGGTTGTAACTTTACGTGCTAGATCGATTGTAGAAGCATATATCTATCTTTTGATCAAGGGTTGTACATCAGAAATCGAAGATTTAGTGAGAGGATGTAACCAAATCGATGAGTCCATTCTTGGACTCATCCAGTACAAGGTTTCTGTCCCATATCAATTAAGGGTCATAAGGACCCACTTGAGTGTGGAAAGGTTTTTTCTTTTTTTTTGGGGGGGGGGGGGGGGTCCCGGGAGTGACCCAACGTTCTGGACTTAACCATTGTTCTGGAAGTTCATGGGACTCGGCGAGTGAATGAGCAGACTCGATGAGTCTAAAGAAAACTTCTTAAGGATGAAGATGAACTCGACGAGTTGTTCATACAACTCGGCGAGTCAAGGACAGGACCTGTGTATCAGTTGAAGGTGAACTCGACGAGTTGTTCATACAACTCAACGAGTCGGATGAGGATTCAGTCGATGTTCATTTACAAGGAAAACTTGCCGAGTCATCGCCTAACTCGACGAGTAGAGACGGGTACAAGGACAAATAGAAGGATAGGGACTCGGCGAGTTGGCGAGCCAAATCGGCAAGTCAGGTCAACTAGAAGTTGACTTTGACTTTGATTTGGTTAGGGGTAAAATGGTTATTTTACCCTAAGAACAGTTAGTAGTGTATGACTAAGTTTTTTGTAGGAATTATAGCTGGAGGATTTCCGGAGCAGCAGCGGCAGCAGCCAGACGATTCCCGCACAAATCAGCAGCTACTACGAGGTGAGTTACCTTCCAGTAGCGGTGGGTCTACGGCCACAATGTCGGCCCACCAGTAGGAGTTGTATGATTGTCTTTGTGATATTATCTACGTTTGCTACTACCTGATATGTTATATGCTGGCATGATATATTATATGTGATAGTAGTAGAGTTCGTTTGTTAGGACTGAAGGGTAGGTCAGACACCCCAGATATGTCTAATAATATGTGCTGATATGTTTATATGCTGGCATGATATGTTATACGTGATAGCGGTAGTAGGAGGGGAATAGTCCCCAAGTTCGGTTGTTAGGACTGAAGGGTAGTTCGAACACCCCAGATATGTCTGATAGTATGTTTATGTTATGATATATGTGATAGTAGCAGTAAGGGGTGGAATAGTCCCCGAGGGTCGGTTGCTAGGACCGACGGGTAGGTCAGTACCCCATAATGGCTTGACATGGCTACGACGGCACCTCATAATGGCTTGACATGGCTAGGACAGCACCCCATAATGGCCGCATGGGTAGGTCGGCACCCCAGAATGGCCATACCGGGTAGGTCGGGCCCCCCAGAATTGCCCGGTAGTATGTATGCTATGTGATTGCATGGTATGTGGTATGATGGGGTAACTCACTAAGCTTTGTGCTTACAGTTTATAGTTTTGGTTTTAGGTACCTCTTCAGCGAAGGGGAAGGAGCTGGCGCGGTAGCGGCACATCATACACACACTCTTTGTTTTCCATATTATGAGTTAT